ATTCCCACGAGCTGCGGAGAAGGGACAGGTACACCTGGGCAGAGATCCGCTGTACCCGGGTAAGGCTGACTTAGAACAGGCGTTCGCCACTTGCCTGAGCTCACCGTTTGAGACTGAGTATTTTGATAACTCGGGCTCCCAGCCAGATTGACTCTCGGCACGGTACGAGTGACACCTTAGTCCAGCCCGGGGTTAGATGAGTTGTGTGGGTGGGGAAGAGGTAGGTTCAAAGAGTGTGGGAAGGGCTTTTTTTTATATTCATTTATTCCCTACAATTATATACAGAGTAAAAGTAAGTACAAGAACAGGAGTAGGGGACCGTGGTTGCGCGGTATCACCGCAAGGTATTGCTTCGCGCAATGGTAGCCACCTTGGCTGTAGCTTCTCTCCTCTCGTTATCGGTGCGACGCAGCGTTCGCAGTAAGCTCGCTGCGTATTCTGCCGTCGCTTCCCAATTCGCCTCCTTCAGCAGCATGAGGGGCACAAAAGTTTCTGGCCGAACTCTTGCCCCGGTGGTCTCCAAAAGTATTTGGCGGACATAGCCAAAGCGGCGACATACAAAAAGGACATGCTGAGCGTCCACGACAATACCACTGCCGCACTCTGGGCAACCGTCCTCCGTGTCGTGTCCGAAGCGCTTAAGGAAGCTTCGGAAGCAGCCGTGTCCACTCAGCGCCTGCGTGAGGTAAAAATCTACCTGGCCGTGCTGTTTATTTACCCATGGCTCTATGCTAGGGATGAGCTGGTGCGTCCAGCGACCCTTGCAGGAGTTGTCCCAGGCTGCCTGCCAGTTGTCGACGCTCAGGCCAGCTCTAGGCCCGCCACTGAGAGCCACTCCTTTACTGCTCGAATTGCGCAGTTTCCAGCTGCCTCCTTGGCCACCACAACCAGCGCGACATCATCTGCAAAGCCAACAATGTTGGTGCTGCTCGGCAGTTGGAGTTTCAGAAGTCCGTCATACATCGTATTCCAAAGCTGTCACCTCGTAAGTCCCGGATGGAGGGATAGCAGGGTCTTCACTGCCCTGTTCGGGACCAAATCCGGCCCAGGTGCCTTCCTGTTCTTCAAGTTCCTTGCCACAGATAATAGTTCCGTCTCCATGACCAGACATATCGGGCTCCCAATTTGTCGAGTCCATCGGGGGATGCAGTGGCGGCGACCCTCTGGAAACAGCACTTGGACAATACCTTCCAGGACCGCCGGGTCAGTAGGCGACCTATTGCCGGCACTCACACGCTTGACCACCGTCTTGAAGGCTCTTCCCCATGGGTCGTATTCCGACTCGTCGCAGAGCTTGAGGTAGCTTTCCCTCTTGCTGTCCCGAATCGCCAGTTTGAGTTGGTTCTTTGCACTCTTAAAGCTGAAGTTGCAGGTAGAAAGGTTTGCGGTGCCTCTCGCCCTTTGGACTAACCTCCTGGCTGGAAGGCAGGTCCTGCTCGAAGCTGCTCGCGAACGATAGGTCTCTGATTGAACCGGCCCCAGCTCTGTTGAAGGTGTGCTGGGAGCCCTCGTTCAACAGGACGATGTCCAGCGACGCAATAGCTTTAAGGATGGTGCGCCCCCTGGCGTTGGTATAGAGGGAGCCCCATTCCTCGGCCCAGGCGTTAAAGTCGCCTTCGATTACCACGTTGCTTTTTCTTCTCAGGTCGCTGATCAGCTCGTCCAGGATCCTCCTAAAGGACGTCAGTGATAGACTGGGGGCCAGGTAGCAGCTGTAGATCCATGTGCCGTCTACGTTCGCTCGGACAAACCCCTCTGCTGCCGTCATGTCCCGCATGAGTGGTGCACCCACTCCGCAGAGCCTCAGTGCCGCTTTGCCTGTGCGATCCGTGACCCAATCGTTAGTGCTCTCCACTCTGAAAGGCTTACTGAGTGTCGCCACCTCTGAGCCCAGTTCGCGCACCGTCTGCTTCAGGAGGTCCTGCGCGGCCCTGCAGTGGTTCGGGTTTAGCTGGATCAACTGCATGTCGGTCGAGGCCTCCCTGTACCGCTGGCTGTGGCTGAGCAGAATCTGCTTCCTGCCTGGTGCCTGGTCTCCTTCTTTCCTGCCGCAGAGCAGATGAAGCATGAAGGCTCCTTGCTGCACTTAGCTGCCTTGTGCCCTTGTTCACCACATCTTATGCAGCAAATCGCTCCTATCCACTAGGCTCTTGCAGGTAACTGCAATATGCCCGGGTTCCAAGCATTTGAAGCATCTTGGGGGGCCTGTTCTTTCTCGGATCCTGCAAATGGTCCACCCAATCCGCACCTCGCCACGATGAAGGACGGCTTTCCCCAGGGAGTAGGGCAAGCTGATCACTGCCGACTGCGACTACGCGTAGCCTCGGCGCAGACTCCGGACTCTGATGCGCTCCGCATCGATGCCATACCGGCTAGCAATCGCAGCGCAGATTTCCTGCTCCGTCGCGATGGAGTCGATGTCTCGTATCTCCAAAACGAGCAGTTTAGCCTCGTCCGACATGGCTCGCACTGACGCTGCGTAGCCTAGCACCCTCGCGATGCTCTCCTTCATGGCTTCTGCGCTTTCTGCGCTGCCTTTGGCCACCTCGAGCAGTAGGTTGCCATTAATGGTGTGGCGTACCTTGGATACACAGCTTCGTAGGTCCGACAACTGTTCGTCTTCCCTTCCTGTCACCATGGCTAACACCTCGCTGTAAGATTTGCCGCTCGCCTGGACAACGACAGCGTCGGGTCTGGCGCGAAGCGTGGCCCTCGGCTTTTTCCTGACCACCTCCCACCCGGCGACCGGAATTGCGTGGCTCGCAATCTTACTGGCGCCAGCGTGCGTCGCCTCTCTTCCTTGTGGCCATTTTGTAGGGTTCATTCGGGTGCTCCTGGTAGCTTTGGCACTTTTCTGCTGCGTTGGGCGCGTGGATGGTGGGGCCAGTTGAGCTGCGGATCCTTCAGCCACAATCGGCTGACTTATCCTTCGCCAAGGCTCCGTTTGGCTGCAGCATCTCTACTCCAGACTGGCGTTGTCTGCTGTTCCTTATCGGCGCTCTGCAAGCTTCGAGAGCATTTCAAGCACACGATAGCTGCATCCTGGCCGTTCTCCCTGATGCTGTCGTCCTTGCCGCCCCCTTCATGCGCACGAACGTCTCTCTCGTGGCGACGGTTATATGGCGTGCCGTTTTGTCCATCATCTTGGTGGACATCTCCTGTAGGAGCTTCCCCAGCTCCAAGAGATCCGCAAGGCAGGTTGCCTCGTGGGAGGCCTTGCTCCTTTTGGCCGGCGTTGTCCTCTGCGAGTTGGCTGGGCTTGCAGGATCACGCGTCCTCTTAGGGGTTTCTTTCACTTTCCTTCACTTCCGAGCGGGCGAGCTTGCTGCTCCTCCTAAATGCCGCTGCAGCTCCATCGGTCCCCTCTTCCCTCGGATGGCGGGGAGATCTTACCACTACTAGTCTGCCCACGAAAGGGTTTTCAGCCTCCTCCATCTCAGGCTTCCTGGCTTGCTCGAGGGAGGCTCCCGCGCTGGCCACAGATTTTCCCTTGGCTTACGATGGGGGATATACCGGATCCACGTTGCTAAGCTCCTACGCCCCACGTTGTTCAACACTGTAGACAGCTGATTTTGTTGTTTACAGTGATGAGGGAAAAAAAGCGCGGGATGCTGTGCGCGTGAGAGAGATTTCGTGGTGAAAGACTCTCACTCGATGGGCGCGGGAGAGGATCCCCCCCTGGCCCACGAACCAACAGAAGCCTCACCAGTCCAAGACTTGGGGATACGTTCGGAAGCCCCGCCGGAACAGTGCCCTGGTACGTACCTCATGTCCCGGAGCGTCTCACACTATACAGAGTTCACTTTATAGGTAACGACCGTCGCTACACTGACTTTAAACGAGAAAACTTCAGAGCACTCTCGACTATGCAACCGCCAACACGTCATGCAATCTATACTGAGCTTTTGTCGAAAGCGGCAGCACAAGTGTGTTCACTTTAAGTACTCTTTGTAAAGTAGATATTCAATATATGCATACTAAAGGCTGGGCGCCTCTGCTGCAGAAGGACCGAGCTTCGTACTGCTTGCTTCGTTGTGTCGGCGCTGCGGAAGAGCCGAGTTGTTTACTGCTTGCTTTGTCGTGTCTCGTCGTTTGGGTAGGTCGTAGTGTTCTGGGTCGTTGGAAGGAACGATCTACTTGGACTTCGAGTGGGATTTGGGAGTGTAGGGCATCGTTAGTTTCGATCTGCCAAGCATCGTTAGTGGGCTGATTTCCTAGAAACTAAGCCGGGCCGCCGCTGATCCCCACCAGGTCGTAGAACCAATTTATAACTGAGCTCTACCGGATCCACCACCACTACCAAGCCTATCTACCAGAACACTTACCCGGATATCCTTCCTTGTTGATGATTCCTCGATGCTCGTCGGAACGCAAGTGCCTGGCCTGAGGCTAGGCCTGTGTATATACAGGCCCCGTTTAGTGTGATAGCTTGTTATCTGGTCACGGTTCTAGTATGACTATCAATTATCGACTATCGATATCTCCGCTGAGTAAGTGTGACCAGTTGTCGCGAGATTTGGGCGTGCGTTTGAATAGTTGTGCGGGCGTGGGATTTCCATTGTTTTGGAATGTTCTATGTTTTGTTTTCTTTTTGTTTTATGTTGTTGTGACGGTGGGTCGTCACATAGGATTGTGGTCTGAGGTTTAGTATATTACTCAAATTGGAAACATCTGAAATCTCAACTCTCTAGCTCTTATACTTTCCGAGATCACAGCGTTACACGGAAAGACAGATAGACGGACATGGCTAGATGGACTGGGCTAGTGATGCTGATCAAAAATAAATATACTTTATGTGGTCGGAAACGCTTCCTTTTACCTGTTATATACTTTTCCCCGAATACAATATACCGTTTTACTCTACGAGTAACGGTCCCTGTAAGAATGAATACGAAACTCCAAATTAATTTTCCTTTTGACATTTCTTTACTGAACTTCTGGGCTTGGAATACTTCGAGTACATTATTATTATCGACAAATTGTCTTATTTTTTCTTTAAGATTTGTGAACGGGTCAATCACCAGGGCTGGAAAGTTGTTCACGATGAACTTGGCCGCATGGGTCCGTATGCCCACAAAGGAACGCAGTGGGTGTCTTACGATGACGCCGCAATAATCCGAAAAAAGGCACAATTGATGAGGTCATTGGACCTGGGTGGAGGTATGGTATGGGCACTCGACCTTGACGACTTTCGCAACAGATGCGGGAATGGCGTGCATCCCTTGCTTCATGAGATCCACGATGTGCTTAAGGATTCGCCGAGTTTATTTGAACCAACGAGTAAGTTTCGCATAGACGTTTGTGTTGTAGCTTTTGCACTATCCCTAATCACTAGACAATGGACTTTATGCAAAAAATTTGTCTCTAGATATTTCACCTCTTCATTAAATCCAAATTAGATTAAAAGGGCTTCCCTTATGTCTCAGCCGTATTTTGAGGTCTTATGAATTTTTATGATGAGCCATTAAAATTCGAGTATTGAATTCCCCAGCATATATTTATACCAGCTACTCGTGGAGTAAAAGCGTACACCGGATTCGTCGGAAAGAATAATGTATATATATTCTTGATCAGCATCACTAGACGTGTCCTCCGTCCGTCCGTCTCTAAGCGAACTAGTCTCTCAGTTTTAAAGCTATCGGGAAATCTTCCCAAATGACTTTATTCTATTGCAGGAAGCATATAAGTCGGAACGAGTTGGATCGGATAACTATATCATTAAGCTTTTGTCTATACCTATTATATTTTAGTCGTAGGGATATAAGTTTGCAATGTTTCAGAACTTGGATTTTAAAACGAACTTTCAGATACCAGTTAATCAGCTAACCAACTTGAAAATATTATTTTTATACCCGTTTCTCTTAGATACGGATACGTCTCCGACCCCATAAGGTATAAATATAAACTTGTTCAGGATAACTAGCCGAGCCGATCTAGCCATGTATAAATATACTTTATGGGGTCGGAAACGCTTTCTTCTACACGTTACACCGCATCTGACGAATCTTGTATACCCTTTTACTCAACGAGTAACGGGCACAAAAAAAGGATGACTATCAAATGTAGTCCATAAGAACGATCGGATACTTAATGGGTTAATAGAAGGAAAGTAAAGCTAAGTAGCATCAAAAACGTTCCTCGATGGCTTGAACTGTGTTCACCAAAAAGTTCCCCAACTCAATTCTAGGACGCGGAATTTGGTTCATATTCGACCTATTTACATATTAACATTAGCAATACAGTGGTTCGAAATCGGTAACTCCCAAACCCAACTGACCTACTAGAATCCAATTTTACCTCGGTCGATAGGGTATTTGGGTAATGGGTAAGAATTTACACAAACACAAACGCTTCTACAATTTTGGGGCAACCCAAAGTTTCTATGTTCTTGCAGTTCGTTCCCATGGTAGCATTGTTCTAGAAATCTTAAGATACTGTTTCATTTTAATTTACTACCGTATATGTATGCCGAAAACAAAATATAACCGTCTAAGCATTATTTTGACATTTATTTTCCGTTCCCCCAGTGACAACTTTATGATATAGTGATCAAATTTGTATGAAACTGAAATTGTAATTCTGAAATATTAAAAAAAGGGAATATGATAAAAAATAAAGAAGCTACAATGAATTTCCTATTAGTTTTCCATTAATTATCCGGTCGTTCCTATGGAAGCTATTTGATATAATCGTCCGATTTATTTTTAATTTTGTTTGGAACTCAAAATATTTAAATAATGATGTTTCCAAAAGAACAAGTTTATATGTCAAACAACACCATTATAAAATTCAATTTATAACCAAATATCAAAACCAAAATGTACCTAAATGTACATGCGAAAACACAAAATTACCTTCTTGCACCAATTTAATTATACCCGTTACTCGTAGATTAAAGGGGTATACTAGATTCGTTGGAAAGTATGTACAGGTAGAAGGAAGCGTTTCCGACCCCATAAAGTATATATATTCTTGATCAGGATCACTAGCCGAGTCGATCTAGCTATGTCTGTCTGTCCGTCCGTCCGGATGAACGCTGAGATCTCGGAAACTATACGTTAAAGTCGGCGTGGCAAACTTTTTTTGGGTCAACCGATTGTTATTGATGAGAACACTGCAATGCAGTTAAAATTTTATTTAAGCATGCATGAGGCAAAGTTTTGGGCGCTTTGTGGGTGTTATAGTGGGCGTGGAACACTGACGAAACAAACTTGCGCTGCGCAGGAATCTCTAGAAACTGCATGCCTAATCCAAGTATTGGAGCTTCTATAGTTTCTGAGATCACAGCGTTCATACTGAAACGCTTACATATATTTGTTACATACTTTCCGACGAATCTACTATACCCTTTTACTTTACGAGTAACGGGTATATAAATGAGGATTCTGAATCCTGCATCCGATCGAAATTCCACATGTACTATTAAAAAGGCGTTTGTAAAAAGTAGTTTCATATAATCGGAGTGGAATACTAATGAAATTAAGAATACTGACAGCAAAATATGCGTTCGTATGTGTGTGTATATATGCATTCTAAACTGAAGGGGGAAATGAGATTCGTTTAAATATAAATTCTTTATAATACCCACTGATATCTTTTTAAAAAAATATTTCATTTGCAAATCTGAAACAGCTTTAACACATTTCCTTCAAAGGGAAAAACTAATTTCAAATTACAAACTAAACTTTTTATTCTCAAATTTAAATTGCATTCCTGTGTTTAAACAAATACATATAACTGTTTAATGAAATAGATTCACGGTATTCCCTCACACCTTTTCGCTACAGTATTATTAATAAAATTAATATAGTTATTAACTAGCACTCATATCTAAATCCAAAAATACCGTATACAGAAAAGTCTTGCAGGAATTGTTAGAATAGTGAGAAATGTTTTACATTTAGTTTAAAAGGCAAAGATAAAAGTTAGTCAACAGAATAGGAATATAAAACGATATATTTACGAAATTTTCCGCAGGCGAAGCTGTGGGAGACCTTGTTAGTTAATATACATTTTTTTCTTGACAGAATACCTGTTATATTGAAAAAAAACCCTATTTCGACTGGCATTTGAGTCTGCTTTTGAGGCTACTAAACTTCAAATCGTTCGACTAATTTAGTTACATTATTCCAATATACATAGTTCGGATTTGTTTCCAGAACAATCATGTAACCAAGTCCTGCTTTCGAGCAATATGGAGTGGACGTTGCAGGCCTTACATCGTTGCCTATCAACTTCTAAATAATTAATTAGTTAACAATTATTAGGATAAAAGGTATATATTTGTTTCTTAAATATTTATACCCGTTACTCGTAGAGTAAAAGGGTATACTAGATTCGTCGAAAAGTATGCAACAGGCAGAAGAAAGCGTTTCCGACCCCATAAAGTATATATATTCTTGATCAGGATCACCAGCCGAGTTGATCTAGCCATGTCCGTCTCTCCGTCTGTCCGTATGAACGCTGAGATCTCGGATTAGGCATGCAGATTCCTTAGATTCCTGCGCAGCGCAAGTTTGTTTCAGGCCACTCTAACGCCCACAAGCCGACCAAAACTGTGGCTCCTACAGTTTTGATGCTAGAACAGAAATTTTATCTGATATGTATTGTTCTCGTCAATACCTTTCGATTGACCCAAAAAAAGGTTGCCAAGCCCACTCTAACGCCCACAAACCGCCCAAGCCTGTGGCGCCCACAATTGTCATGCTAGATAAAAAATTTTAACTGAAATTTCTTGGTCTCGTCAATACCTATCGTTTGATCCAAAACAAAAATTTGCAACGCCCACTCTAACGCCCATAACGCTTAAATCTGTCTACCGCCGGTAGGTGGCGCATTTCAATCTCGCTTTGCTGCTGGCATATCTCCATTTCCCTTTGATCCCATTAGCTGAGTAACGGGTATCTGATAGTCGAGGTACTCGACTATAGCGTTCTTCCTTGTTATTTATTTATTTTTTGTCAAACATATAGTCATATACCAAAACATCTGATTCGTGACAATGCCAACTTTATTATAATGCTTAAACAAGATGATTTAAATATGCGGCATATATATCGGACGGACGGACGATAGGTATTGATGAGAACAATACATTTCAGTTCAAATTCATCAAACTGTAGGAGCCACAGTTTTGGGCGGCTTGTGGGCGTTAGAGTGGGCGTGGCACTCTACTGAAAAAAACTTGCGCTGCGAAAGAAGCTCAGGAATCTGCACGCCAAATCTCAATAGCCTAGCTCTCATAGTTTCCGAGATCTCAGCGTTCATCCGGACGGACAGACAGACGGACAGACGGACATGGCTAGATCGACTCGGCTAGTGATCCTGATCAAGAATATATATACTTTATGGGGTCGGAAACGCTTCCTTCTGCCTGTTACATACTTTCCGACGAATCTAGTATACCCTTTTACTCTACGAGTAACGTGTATAAAAATAATAATCCATTGTTATTCTCTATTAAACATAACATAATATTAGTTTTACCACAATTCGAAGGCCCAACAACTAGAGCCCTTATTTTGTTCGGTAAGAGAGCACTATGTCGTGGCGGTAGATTTTTCTCGTTTTCATCGTTAAAATATCTAGCTCCAATTTTTTATACCCTTGCAGAGGGTATAATGATTTCAGTCAGAAGTTTGCAACGCAGTGAAGGAGACGTTTCCGACCCCATAAAGTATATATATTCTTGATCAGCATCACTAGACGATTCGATCTAGCCATGTCCGTCTGTCCGTCCGTTTCTACGCAAACTAGTCTCTCAGTTTTAAAGCTATCGGGCTGAAACTTTCCCAAAAGTCTTATATCTTTTGCGGGTAGTATATAAGTCGGAACCAGCCGGATCGGACAACTATATCTTATAGCTCCCATGGGAATAATCGGAAAAAAAAATTAAACAAAATTATGTCTTTGGTGTTTTTTAGCATATAACCTCCTAAGCTTGGAAATAACATTTTTTAATTAGTTTTAAATTTTGAATTAAATTTTATCGAAATCGGACGACTATATAATATAGCTCCTATAGGAACGATCGGAAAATTGGTGGAAAAATAATATGAAACATATTATAGCTTTGGTGTTTTTTAACATATAACCTCCTACGCTTGGAAATAACATTTTTTTAATAGTTTTGAATTTCGAATTTAATTTCATCAAAATCGGACGACTATATCATATAGCTGCCATAGGAACGATCGCAAATTGGTGGGAAAATAATATGAAACAAATTATAGCTTCGGTGTTTTTTAACATATAACCTTCTACGCTTGGAAATAACATTT